ATAAATGTCTGATGGAGGGTAGAATCCCGGACGCATGGAAAAACGCAGAAGTTGTGCTATTATACAAAAAAGGAGATTTTACAAATATAGAGAATTATAGACCAATAAGCCTTCTCTCGCATCTATACAAGCTCTTCACTAGGATTATCAACAACCGACTGTCTACGAAACTAGATTCCTATCAGCCAATAGAACAGGCAGGCTTTCGAAAAGGTTTTAGTACCATCGATCATCTACAAACAATTAAAACAGTCATTGAAAAAACAACAGAATACAATATACCTCTACATTTGGCCTTTGTAGACTACCAAAAAGCCTTTGACAGCATCGAAACCTGGTCATTTCTAGCTGCAATGGAGGACGCGAGAATTGATTCCAGATATTATTCCATTATTAAAAATATCTATGATAGTGCAACCTTCCAAGTTAAATTAGATGATGACCTCAAAACAGAAAAAATACTACTCGGCAAGGGCGTGAGACAAGGAGATACCATCTCTCCCAAGTTATTTACACTGGCACTGGAAAATGTCTTCAAGAAATTAGAATGGGAAAATAGAGGTCTAAACATCGATGGGGTACACCTTAGCCATCTGAGGTTCGCAGACGATATTGTCTTGCTGAGCACCGACATTCAAGAACTAAACACCATGCTAAATGAGCTAAATGACCAATCCCAGAAAATTGGCTTTAAAATGAATTTGAAAAAGACCAAGATAATGAGCAACAATATCCATAACATTACCGTTGACAACGTTATTATTGAAAACGTAGACCATTATATATATATTTAGGTCATAAAATCAAGCTGGGCAAGGAAAACCAAAATACGGAGATCAAACGCAGGATCCATTTGGCATGGGTAGCATTTGGAAATATGAGCAATATTTTCAAGGATAAAAAGGTGCCCATGAACCTAAAGAAAAAAGCTTACGACAGCTGCATTCTACCTGTGCTTACGTATGGCTTAGAGACTATGTCAATTACTCGAAAAACAGCAGAACAAATACGAGTAGCACAAAGAGCCATGGAAAGAATCATGTTGGGAGTCAATATTAGAGAAAAAAATACGGAATACCCACATACGTCAAAAAACAAAATTAATAGATGTCGTTAAAAGAGTGGCAAGTCTGAAGTGGCAATGGATAGGACATGTGGCAAGACAGGATTCAGACCGATGGCCCCAAAAAGTAATCCTATGGAGACCTAGGGAAACAACCAGGAGTATGGGCCGACCAAACAAGAGAGGGGTCGATGACGTCAGGGCAGTGGCGGGAAGACAATGGATAAGATTGGCTAGAGATCGCGAAGCATGGAAAAACCTAGAAGAGGCCTATATCCAACACTGGATGGAACCAGGCTGAGAAAGAAGAAGAAGAAGAAGATATTCATTTTCTTCGAAAAATGTGTTCTTTCGCCATTACTTTACGGTAAAAGGTTGCAATTTAGTTTTCGAAAAATAAAGAATCAAGTTTAAAGAGTGATAACTCGGCTATTATTACACCTACGGTAAACAACAAAAAATGAGTCGATTCGTTATTCCAAAAGCTTCATTTTTGCTTTATATGGGTTTTGCGATAAAACGCAAGATTTTCGAGTTATTTATATAAATTGCAGAAAAATATGCAGTTTTAGATGAAAAATCAACATTTTCAATCCTAAATAACTCGGAAAATATTAATTTTGTGGAAAAATGTTATATATATAGAACATTTTTTGCTTAGAATTCATCCCTTTATTGATTTTTGTAATTAAAATGGGTGATTTATTTTTCACCCCCGAGACCCAAGTAGCATATATCTGACTTCGAACTAAATCTGACCTGAAGCGACATCAGACTTTGTGCAAATTTAGGTCGGGTGCTGGTGATACGACTGGTGACGTCGCTTTCCTAATAACAACGTACCATTTTTATTAATTTCCCAACGTCGTTCCAACGTTGGCTTGCACGACGTACCTATACGTGAACTAGCCCGACGTCTACCCGTTGTCCGAATAGGATACGTCTCACTGATAACCCCTAAAGTAACGTCCAATTATATTTTGTTGTATTTTATGTTCATATTTTTAACCTAATTTACGTATCTCTCTTTACGTCCGTAAATACAACCCATTAAGTAGCATTTGCGGCCTAATAAACATCATGAACATAACCTAATAAAAAGTTTTTGTAAACAAACTTAATAAAAAGGCATTTAGACATTCATCTACATTTTACAGAAAGAGGTCGAGGCTTTTGCAAAATAATAATAGTAGTAGTGATGTCTTCCCTCCGCCCACGAATGCTTTTTATCCGGAAGAGATGCTGCATTACACTGGTGCATCTTAATTTCATTTTTTAGCTTAGGAAATCAGCAGACCCCATTCTCCTCCCACATGTGAGGTACTGGTTCGAATTCTTTTAAATTTTGTATATACTATCTTAAAAAAGTGGCTGCCCATTGTTTTAAAGAGAAAACAAAAACTAAAATATAGTTGCACAAATCCACAAATCACTGATACGCAAAGTGAGGTTACGTGGCGTACGTTGGAATTATATACGTCATAATACGATTGCCGGTCGTCCGGTTTGATGACTTCGGTCGTGTGAGACGACTAATGTTGGAGACCCGGTCGGAATTGGTATATTGGTAGTTCATATTAAGTCGGACACAGAAATCCGCCATTCTTAACAGGTATCCGATTGTCAGCCATTTTAAAATCGTTGTTTGTTTTAAAATTTATATTCACATTCCGATTTCTAGTAGAATAATATTGATAAGGTTGAGTTTGGGGGAACCACAGTACAGTTTTATGATTAAACCAGCTAGAAAAAAAAAAAATATTTTGCGAGTTACTTTTTATAGATATTTTTATTTCATAAATCTACCTATTTTTGAAGGCGCTCGTTGTTTTCCGGAGTATTTTAATCAGATATATCAAAAAAGTGACTTCCGTTGACAAAACTAATGTCTGGATTAATGATTCAGAATTATTATAATATGAAATTAGATAGGCACTTATAGTTCTATTCGAGGAGTGATTATGAATCCATTTGTAATTAGGTAGTTTGGTTAGGTTTTTATGTATTCTTGGTAGCGAATAGATGTTAGATGACGTCCAAATGCTACTTGGGGAAGGGGTGGCACTCACCCCCCGGGTGAAAGCACACATCGCTACTATGTAACTTTTGTTTCTTACATATATCTCTATTCCATGGTACAAAGAATACAAGATATGATATTGCGCAGGTTGGTCGCTACGTCACAGGTGATAACAGGCGCTATTGGTCAGCACTCTCCGCGCGCCAGTTCAAATCGTCAAGATATTGTTATAAACCTGTTTTTTTGTTTATATACCGTCATTGAATTATCGCTAAGCAAGTTACTGTGGAGCAGTGCGTAAGGAGTCGGGCTAGGAAGCGAGAGACCGGAGTTCGAATCTCGGCCGGGACATAACTTTTTATTTATTTTTTAAATACTGTTGTATTCTATAGTTTATTTTTGTAGTATAAAAAAAAGAACTATTTATTCTGTTATTTTTTAATCTCCGGTATTAATATAAATTGATTGTTGGTACAATACCTCATTTAATATAAAATAATATTCTACTTTTTGAAATGTATCGGGCCCTAATTGTACCTAAAAGTAATATATTTTTAGTGATATACCATATTGTAAATAAACTATTTAATATTTCAGTCACTTAAAAAGTTAATTCGCATTGAATAATTGCCTACCATTAAGGAAATTTGAGCTATATAATCCTTGATGGGCATATTCTGAGTATGCAAATACTTCCTCTAAATTTTGGGTTTCGTTCAACCGATTTATTCTCAAAACCTGAAACATCTACATATAAAAAGAAGCACAGGTCACTAATTACTTCCACTAATTATAATAAACTTCACCCTTTGGAATTACTTCTATCAGAATTACAATACATTCATCTGCATTGGCATTTTCTACTTTTTGATGGGAAACTTCAACTTCCCAACATATTTTAAATGATGTAACAATTCCTCTTGTGGTTACTTTTCCATAGATATCCTCATCTCTGTCCTCATGTGAATTCAGAGGCAATGAACATGAAAATTATTTACCATAAACATCGCAAACTAAAAACCTAATAAACAATTTTATACCGAATATAGAAATAAATTTAGTATTCTTACCTATTATTATCGTCCAAATCCATGTTAATAGATAATTATTTTTAAATATATTTTTGGAACTGCTGGTTTTAGTAATTATTAAATTAAACGAACTAAAAAGTCTTAAAAATAAACAATTCTTAACCATAACCTCAAAAATGCAGATCTCCTGTCAACTTTCTTTATTTTATATTTATTCATTATTTTCCTAGTGACGTCACAGGTGGTATGCGCGAACTGAACGAAATTGGAGCCGCTATCGATCATACCTTGTATTCTTTGTACCATGTCTCTATTCACTGTTAAAATTTCACGTCAATCGGTGCGGGTGTCAAGAATTCGGAGGTAATACCCTATTTTTATCCTCGCTTACTGGCCTACTAGGAAAAAAATCATTTATGTTTTTTTTCTTATAAAGACCAAGGGCCATTCTGTAGGATATAATACTGAAAAAAAAAACATTCAATGTAAAATAATTCCTTATGGGATGTTTTTTTAAATAAAAATGAAACAAGACGTAGCCAGTCCTTCCCTGTATGACTTAAATAATTGCGGCAGAACGAAATATTAAATTTTCTGAATAAGTTATTAGATATTTTCGTGATTTTTGGCTCTGTGCCAAATAACGAAATGAAGTTTATTCTTCTATCCGCCCGCTATATGTATGTCATAGTGGGCCGTGCACGAGAACGCGCGACTCCCGCCTATTTTTGATTCAATTGTTTCATTTTGACAGTTCCTTTCGCAGAAAAAAACACGAGATCTCACGAGATTCCAGGATGTTGAAAAAATTCACGGTACTTTTTAGTTACTTATAATTAATTTTCGAGTTGTTTCAGTTTTGTTTAGGTTTTTTTTTGTATTTTAGGACGAAAATGGTGAACTGGTTAAAAGACTTATGGGTTATAAAGCGAAAGATGCCGAGAAACTGAATGAAGAAAACGACAACTTTCTCAAGTAAGTTTGAATTTTACCTACTTTTCTGTGTATTGTACTTAGACATCCATATTTGCTTTTAACTGTAAAAAAGCTTCTTGTAGTTTAGTGATCTTAGTTTATGTATACACTAATTTATTTTCGGTGATTAAAAATCATATACATAGTCCAGTAAATGAAGGTTGAAACTACGGCTTAATTTTTTGTCCACCGGGAGTTTTTAGGCGGATTGTGTAACTTTTGGGGAGTTCTTTTAGAGGAGAAAATTGTAACACCGTGCTCAGTCGTAGTAATAATGGCCCAAAATGGCGGAAAATCAGTTTTTCGTAAATATCTGCCAACATATGCAATTTGCAATTTTTTTCTTAATAGTTATTTTTTATACAAAACGACCGAAAAGATTAATTCACGAGGGATCAAATAGCGAGTGAATTAATTTCGGGAGACGATAATGCAATTTTATCGTCGTGTATAAAACAATATTTTTTTTCATAGCGAGTTACGTTCTAAAAAATATTCAGAAATTATTATTTCGAGGAATTTATTACGAGTAGAAAAAATATTGTGCTGGGTTGGCGTTGGTTTCTATGTAATTTGACAAGTAAATAAAGCTGTCTCTTTAGTTGTCAGTTTTGAGTCAATATTTTTTAATTCTCTTTCGTGTCGATTGCTGATTGAATTGGAGCCAGAAATGGCTCAAAACGCAATAAGTAAATTACCAACAGATATTCAGGCTGAGACGACAAACGCCATATCCAAACTACTTCCATTTAAATCTCGAATAACTTATGAAAAGGAATACAAAAATTTTCAAAAATGGAAGCAATTAAAAAACGTGCGAGAAGAAATAAAGTTTTTAACCTATCCTCGCTGTTAAAGTATCATTTAATCTACCCCTGTGGTTAAAGTACTATTTTATCTACTATTTTTGATAGATATAAGGCAATTTTAACAGTTGCTATGGAAAAAAGTAAAAAATGAAGCATAGGTAATTACCTACAAAAATGATCCTTATCGTTTTTTACGTAGAATTAGTAGTAAGATCCCTCAACGGTTCTCTCAAAGTCTTAACGCTCTCAAGATATATTTCATAACCATATCATTGATTGAGATGACAAATTGTTTAATAACTCGGCAAAAATTTAATATTTTTTGAAGATTCAAATTTCGTTTAAAACGTAGAATCAACAGCTATCACATTTTGCAACTTATTTGAATTTTGTCATATTTTATGATAATAAAAAACCGGGCAAATATTCCTTGACCCAAAAGGTTTCAGATTTTACAAACTTATTTATATTTTCACTAATAATAACTTATTTGTAAAAAATGTCTATACCTATGTGACGGATTCATCTCTCCAAAAAAATCCTTTATGGGTATTTCGCCACTCATAAAAAGTTTATATGATAGGGCAAAAATAATATATACAATATATACGACATTTCACTAAACAGAGCAAAATAAAACACTAAATCACCACAATACACCAAAACACTTTTACTTTTACACTGGACGCGCGTTTCGCAAACCATGTTAGCATCATCAGCAGATGATTATGAACTAACTTGTGAGTTTATAATCATCTGCTGATTGGATGGTGAATACGCACCTTAAAGTGTTCTCGTATAGTTCAATTTAAATATTTTAAATAGTTTTTTTTTCTTTATTTTTTGTATTTTTTTACTTCCGACGACGGAAAGAGATAAACTTCCGAAACGTTAAGCATTTTTTTCTTTCTTAGGCAAATTTTTATAACTGTAAACATAACTTCTGACAAGCAGCGTCCGTTTAGGTTTAACGCCAGAAGTGTTTACAAAAAATAACTATTTTGTTTTGTAGATTTTTCTTGCAGTGCAGTGGCGAAATACCCATAAAGGATTTTTTTGGAGAAATAATTTATTTGTCAAGATTTTTCTAAAAGTTGTTCTTAGAGTCTTTATAAATAACTCACAAAGTTTGAAATATTTGTTTAATCACATTTAAATAAAAAACAACTATTCGGGAATTGCTTTTTCCGCTTTTTTGAGATTTACGGAAAGTGTCGTAAACGAAAGAAAATTGCATAATGACGAATAGTCGAAATGGTGTCTTTTTACGAACAACGTTACGAAAAAAGTGTCAGGATCATTTTTTAGCTAAAGAGCCAATATTTCTTTGATCATGAAAATCATCTAAATGGCCGAAAATGGGTCTTTTTGTGTCCTTATTTATTGGACTATACAGTGACAAACTTATGAATAAAGCAGTACAGTCTTGCATTTTTAAATCAAAAAATTAAATAAAAAATAACTGTCAAAATATCCTGTATATAATTTATCGCATCGCCTTGATTACTTCACATAAAATGTCACATCGGTCAGCTAGGTGATAATATAAATTTTATTCTGAAAAATAGAAATGTTAGCGATATTATAGCTGTTGATTTATTTTAAGCTATAAAACTGGTTTTATGGTTTTTATTTTAGTAGATTATAATAACATGTTTATTAAGATTGGGAAACGAAAATTTATCTGAAAATCAGGATGTTTTTGGAAATTAAATTAAGAATTTTCAAAGAATTAAAAAAATTATACAGGGTCCGGCAATAGTGCGTCGGGCATCTGTAGCTCCTAGAATAAAAAAAAAACTTGAGAATTTTGGTTCAGTGTAAACCTAAAGTATGTACGAGGATATATTTCAGGAAAATATTTTAACTTCTATAGAGTGATTCAAAAAAGTGTTAGTGGATCGGGATGATTTTTGTTGCCATTTAAAAAAAAATCAATGATGAGGTTTTTTGGAGTTTTCTCATTTTCCAGAATCCGCATACGACGTTGTTTCTTAACCTAAAGTACGATGATGTATTTCAGGAAAATATTTTAACTTCCATAGGGTGGATTAAGAAAGTGTGAGTGGTTTGGGATGATTTTTTTAAATAGAACACCCTGTATATTATTGAATTTTTGGCTTTCAGATCACTTTACATATTCCTAAGTTATGAGTAAATATATTTCGATAATTTCAGAGATTCTTAAACCCTATAACCAAATTTATTGTTGTGTTATACAGGGTGTCCCAGAAATGAGTGCAGATATTTTAAGAGGTGGTAGATCTGGTCAAAATAAACATATTTTCTCTTTACCATTTTTAAAATAAATTGAAAATAACTGAGTTATTTAACTTTGAAAATTTAAAAAAATAATCGCAACATTTTGAGAACCGCCGGCAGATATTGCCAACTACATCCAATTACCCGGATCAAGCCCGGATTTCAGTTCATTCGACGCACTGTGTTGCCATATGGACAAGAAAGTATATGTTTACAAGTAAGTCATAAAATCACAACACCTGAGGAGTTTGCAGAGATGCATTACATTTTTAAGATTGTGATATTATTACATAAAATAAATTAAAAGTTAAATGTTTAAAAGTTAAATTAAAAAACTTACCCAACATTAAAAAAGATACTTATGACAGATCGATGTAACTGCGACAGTTCTCTTTTTCGATACACACTTAACTAAATACACTTCATTGTGCTGCTTTACTTGTACGTGCTATTATAAAAACTGCTAAAATAACAGTCCCCAAAGCTTCATCACAATTTGAACTAGGCTTCATCACAATTTGAACCACTGATTTACAAAACACCTTGAAAAGCACACATTACTTTGAATATCTTTCTGAATGAATAAATGTTGAAATTATTGTCTCTTACCGCCACTTTACGAACTACTTTCAATCTAAGAAAATACATGTTTCACTCAACAATTTTAAATACGTATTTTGCTTTTTCGCTATTTTTTCGATGTATTTCGACAATTCCGTCAACAGCCCAACCATCCGTCGGCCAAGACAGCCACGCATCACTGGTTGGTAACTGCTCACTGCTTCTTTGTCGCGCCGGCGTGTCGAGCTTGCGTCATGCGAGGTTGCCGTAGTTTCAACAATTTCAAATTCAAGACACTCGAAGCAATCAAATTCTTATTATATTTTAAAAATAAAACAGAAAAACATGAAAGGAAACAAACAAAACACAAATGAATTGATTATTGGTAAGGTCACAAAAAAGAAATTTCTAAATTGTTTATCGTAATTCAGAATTCAATATATCGAAAACAGCCCGACGAATAATCAATTCATTTTCGTTTTGTTTGTTTCCTTTCATGTTCTCTGTTTTATTTTTAAAATTTAATACAAATTTGATTGCTTCGAATCTCTTGAATTTGAAATTGTTGTAACTACGGCAACGTTGCTTAACATCGTCGTCTGACGCAAGCCTGCCACGACGGCGCGGCTCAAAGGACCAGTTCACACGTGGCACTCTTGGCCAACGCGCGACGGTCGGGCTGTCAAAATACATCGAAAAAATAGCGAAAAAACAAAATACGTATTTAAAATTGTTGAGTGAAACATGTCTTAAATTGAAAGTAGTTCGTAAAGTAGCGATAAGAGAGGTATTCAAAGTAATGTGCGCTTTTCAAGGTGTTTTGTAAATCAGTGGTTCAAATAAAACAGAGAAACATGAAAGAAAACAAATATTGAATTCTAAATTACGATAAACATTTTAGGAATTTCTTTTTTGTGACCTGGTTGTAAATAATATGATGAATCATTTTTGTAAACGTCATAAACGTAATGTTTTAGTTAATTTTCGGTGGTTTTTGTTAAGTTTTCATTGAAAGGGTAAGTACTAAAAATAATTAATGTGTTTTTTTTTCTATAATAATTATTAATAATGATCACTGATGAAAATTTAAGATTCTTAATTTTTGGGTAGAAATTTTTCTATGAATTTATAAATGTAGAACTATGTAGAATGTGGATAACATAGGAGGTTACAACACTGCATGGTTTAGATACACCGTAGAGAAATCTCAGGTGAATAAACAAGTGGCACTAAAAAGTTTTTTCAAATTTCCCGGAAAATCTCAAGAAAAATTTTAAATTTTCAACATTTTTTTTCGCAAAAAAAACCTCATAGGCGTGTTTCTGGGGTTGAACTATACTACCAGTTAAAATATCTGCACTTATTTCTGGGACACCCTGTATAGCTGCGTTCAAACAATAACTATTTCAATTATTGTTTTGTTTATTTCACTATTCATAGTTTGTCACTGATTTAAATAATCATAGTTTAGATAGATACTAGTGAACTTAGTTTTTTTTTGAAGAAAATACTTAGTTTTGTTTATTCTATGGGTATAAGTATCGTAGTATTTTTATTAATCTTTTTGTAACCAATTGTAGACTACTTGTGTGCTTAATTTTTTCGTCCAAGCCTTTGTTTTTGTATATTTGTCTTACAGCGAGGGTTCCAAGCATTTCTCCTCTGTTCTGAGTACTTTTGGTATTTTTAGGTATGTATATAAAAATTTATACGGTGTCACCCATTTTTTAATTTTTTGTTGAGAATATATTTGATTTTTCTTTTTTCTATTATTTTTTTCACACAATCTTTTTATTAATTTTTTTATTCGTTTCAAAATTTATCTTTTAAAAGTATTTTTAATAGATTTTTTTTTAAATTTACTTTTTTAAAATTCTTCGAATTTAGAATTTTAAGAAGGCTTTAAATAAGCAGTAAATTTAGTTTAAAAACGGTTATATTTCGGAAACCATTCAGTATAGTATATGACATTATGTCATTTTTGGAACGGAAATTTAGTAGCAAATCCACCGAGTAAAAAACAATGACATATTATTCCTTTTAAAAATATACAGTTTTGGTTTGAAAATGTGTTTGAATCAAAAATATTTTCAAAATGTGCGTTACCTTTGCCTTTTATTATGTAAAAATATAAATGTGAATTATATAAATGTCATATTTTTCAGTATACGGAGTTAAGTTTTTAAAGCACTACCTAATAAAAAAAAAGAAAAAATCAATAAATTTATTTAGTTTTTATTGGTGTGAATTTTATGGGTGCCACTGTATATTTTTGGGAGAGGTAGTTTGTATCATCACACACTTCACTGTAGATTTCTTCTCTAGCTTCTGTAAAAGATTATTCATCTATGTTTTGTTTGTAATTTGTTCATTTCAAATAGACGCTGTATATACAAAAATACATTATTTATGTAAATACGTTATTATTTAATATTGTCCGATAATGAAATGTGACGGCGGTAGTTTTTCTTTTAAATTGAATTAAAATCGACACTAAAAACCTTTTACTCTCGGGTAGGATCTCTGAATTCTGACATTTTAAGAAATAAATGCTGAAAAAATGTATTTCCTTGTAGAATTTTGAAAAGTTGGATTCCTATTTTACAAAGAGCCTCGAAAACAGTTAAAAAAACGACTAAAAATTATTAATTTTTAACATTTTTTCAAATATATAGTCACGGAAATTGGCGATTTTGGTCAAGTCACCGATTTTGATAAAACTACTGTTATTTACTAATTAGAAGGTGTAGAAACCGAACATATATATACGTGTCTGGTACTAGGCGTAGGTAAAGTTTTTACCCCCATTAGAAGTCGCTCTCAAACAAGAGTTCATAAAACCGATTTTATCATGAAATCAAAGTATTTCAGCTCTAACAGAAACTGTGTAATAAACTTTTATTCTTGCAGGTTGAAAAATATTTATTAAGAAAAATATTTTGTAAGAAAAATATTCCGTAAGAAATATATTTCGTAAGAAAAATGTTTTGTAAGAAAAATATTTTGTAAGAAAAATAATTTGTAAGCAAAATATTCCGTAAGAAAAATATTTCGTAAGAAAAATATTTAGTAAGAAAAATATTCCGTAAGATAAATATTTTGTAAGAAAAATTTTCCGTAAGAAAAATATTTTATTACCCTCATTAGAAGTCGCTCTCAAACAAGAGTTCTTAAAACCGATTTTATCATGAAACCAAATTATTTCAGCTCTAACAGAAACTGTGTAATAAACTTTTATTCTTGCAGGTTGAAACATATTTCGTAAGAAAAATAATTTGTAAGCAAAATATTCCGTAAGAGAAATATTTCGTAAGGAAAATATTTGGTAAGAAAAATATTTTGTAAGAAAAATATTTTGTAAGAAAAATATTTCGTAAGAAAAATATTTTGTAAGAAAAATATTTCGTAAGAAAAATATTTCGTAAGAAAACATTTCGTAAAAAATATTTCGTAAGAAAAATATTGTAAGAAAAATATTCCGTAAGAAAAATATTTCGCAAGAAAAATATTTCGTAAGGAAAATATTTTGCAAGAAAAATATTTCTTAAGAAAAATATTTTGTAAAAAACATTTTGTAAGAAAAATATTTCGTAAGAAAAATATTCCGCAAGAAAAATATTTCGGAACTAGTTGCGAAATGAAACATCTTTTAAAACGCCAATGGATTATAAAACGTGTCACTCTAAATGTGTGTGTGTGTGTGTCAAAACTGTATAAAAACATTTCATCTAGATATAATCTAGATGTTTAAAATTAGAAGGGAAATAATATTTTCAAAATTCGATCAATAAACCCATTTTAATTCGTTTATTACCTCAAATGCCAAATTTGACGGATATCTGATTTTGTTTATCTTTATTGTAAAGCAGAAATTATTGCCAATATCAAATGTTATCTATATCTATTAATAAAATGTGCTGACTTTAACGGTAATACCCAAGGTATTTGATATACATGTTTGTAAATATTCAGGAAATTTATATAAGGATTAATTAATCTTATTGTAAAAATTGTTTATTTTAGTTTTTCCAATTGTACGGTTTTGTTTTCGAGATTTATTGCACTAAACGAACGGGATATTGAACATTTCGTGAATTATTGTTGGAAAATATTGCATGTTTATAAACTTTGGAAATACTAAAAATAAATGTTTTTGTAGTTTCGCAATAATAAACACAGAAAACTACTTTCACTATATATTTTTATACTATTTTTAAATTTGTTTTGTTTGTAGTTTAATAATTATACATATACATATAAAATATATAACCAAAGAATATTACTTGAGAATGTTTGACAATGATTACAGTAAAAAACCCTAATTAAAACCATTATAATCTTATTATAAATATAACTTCAAATTGGCCAAAGAGATATAAAACATCTTTGATAAACTTGGAATGTTTTTGTTAAACAAATTTGCTTGGGTGCAACTGTCGTTAAATTTTTTTCTCATATTTTAATGTCGACTTGCATAATTCTTTACTCTAAAATAATTTTAATTATTATTTGAACTGAGACATTTTATCAATATTTAACTATAGGGAGCAACTGCATGGGAAGGTATATGTAAGTCATGAGCTAGTAAATTGTTTCAGTATGCTGTATTTTTCATAATTTGTCAGTCCAAAAATTAATAATTTATTTTTTGCTTTTTGCTACTTTATAATCACAGATTTTTTGTAAAGATTTTTTTGTTATTAGTTTTAGATGAATAATCTTATACTTCTGTAAAACCTTTTTACACACCTTTTAAGATGTTTCGATTTTTTGTACGTTACTTGTGGAATTTCAGAAAAAGACATGCCAAAATGCAGAAAGAAATTGAAGAGGCGTGTAGAGACACGAGGGGAGTTTGTGGTGACGATTTTCAAGAAGGTTTTGGTCCGATCAGTCAATCAACTTTACCTACGAAGGTCCACCTGAAATTTGTAAGGATATTTTTTATTTTTGTTTAGATTTATAGCTCTTTTTTGCTTAAAACATACCTATATATTATTCTCCTTTTATTAAATGTAATTTTATGTCATTAAAAATATAGCACAGGACTTAAAACGGTGTCAAAGATGGCTAGGGATTGACAATGATAATTTCGGCGAGGTTAATCTATAGACGCCTATTACTAAAAATTTACATTAAACTTGACATAGAAATAAATAAATACCGGGTGTGTCTCAAAAGTGGGCCACCCCCCTATAACTTTTTTATTTTTTCAGATAAAAAAACGGTATTTTTTCAGATAAAAAAACGAGATTTGGTATGTTAGTATGTGACATAAATTAGGATTGATTGACGTGTTCAATTGTTTTTGATCACTTCCTGTTTCACCGGAAATACATACTACATCTTTTGATTGTTAAATGGCACTCTCGGTATTTTTTTACTTTATTTGATAGAAAATGACAGTCTGAATAGAATGACATATCATATGTCAATTTTTGAAATTCTCGCTTAATAAAAAATCGTTTTTAAAATTCAATCTAGGGTGCCATGGCTATGTTAAAAACACTAATTTTTAATTAAGAAGCCTTGGAAAAATAGATTTGGTCGTCTAATGTTTTCAGTGTCTTGTCCTGGCTAGTTAGAAAATGCTCAAATCGTATTTTTAATCATATCACAATTTTTTCAAATGGAACGAGAGTGGATCATTAGCATATTTGGAAAAAGCATTTTTTTCGAATAATTTGATACCACACACTTGGTATTTCGAGTCAAATTTTCGTTACGAACCGCAAGTTATAATTTCAAATAAACCATATATGTCGAAAGTTGACATATGATATGTCATTCTATTTAGAGTATTATTTTCTATTGAATAAAATAAAAAAAAATACAAAGTTGTAGGCATTTCCGGTGAAACAGGAAGTGACCAAAAACAATTGAATACGTCAATTAATTCTAATTTATGTCATATACTAACATACCAAATCTCGTTTTTTTAACTGAAAAAATAAAAAAGTTATAGGGGTGAGCCACTTTTGAGACGCACTCGGTATAATAATAAATTTAATATTTTTCTTAATTTTTAGAAATTAGTTTTCTGGCCTTATTTTTCTTTGACCTTTGTTGTCATTAACAAAAATTAATTACATATTACACACATACATTTTATTTATTAAGTATCTTTTTTAAATTAAGTATATTATTGTGAGATAATATATTAAAGTTAAAAAAGCGTAATATACTAGGATGACGATAAAAATGATTTTTTAGGGAGGGATATCATTAAATAAAATATTTACAATGAGCTATAAATACAGATTCTGATTGAACTATTTTCTTGATAATTTGGTGAATGTAGAATCATACTCATTTTCGAATATAGGCACAGCTCAGAGAAATAATAAAAATAAAAAAAACCTTACTGTTGAAAATGTACAAAGTGGAGGTATCCAAGATACACAACCCAGATGCAAACCGGCAATGGGTTACGTATACCGGGTGCCTGCACCTGCGTATACCGGGTGCGTCTCAAAAGTGGCTCACCTCTATAACTTTTTTATTTTTTCAGATAAATAAACGAGATTTGGTATGTTAGTCTCTGACATAAATTAGGATTGATTGACGTATTCAATTTTTTCCGGTCACTTCCTGTTTCACCGGAAATGATCACAACTTTTGCTTTTTAAATGGCACCCTCGGTATTTTGTTACTTTATTAGATAGAAAATGACACTTTGAATAAAATGACATATCATATGTCAACTTTTGACATTTTCGAATATGGTTTATTTGAAATTGCAACATGCGACTCATAACGATAAGTTCTCGAAATATCAAGTGTGTGGTACCAAATTATTCGTAAATAAATGCTTTTTCCAAATATGCTAACGATTTATTGTGCTAACGATTTATTGTTATTTTTTTTTAATTTATCTACCCACCGCCCATCATTGAAACAAATTAATAACAGAGAATGTAATCTTTTTTTGAATTAAAGTGACAGGGAAAATATCAACAACCAACTGTTTTTATTTCTTTTTTGGACGTACTATAGCTTCACAAATTATTTCGCACATATTGTATATGATTGATTTGATGTTCTTTTTCTAGGATGCTCACGAGGGTGAAGTAAACGCTGTAAAATGGAGTCCGGTGGACCGTTTAGTGGTCACTGGCGGAGCGGACAGGAAGGTGAAGCTATGGGACGTCTCCAAAGGTCAGTTATAACCTTACACGACCATGACGACCCGCCTTCCTGTGTTCCCGTACCATTTCACATGTTTGTTTGCCAGTTCCTTGAAATTTACCAATACATTACTTGTTTTACCTGTTTTTTTTTCTACCATTACCCGCAGGTCACACAAACTAACACGCATGACCATCAAGACCCAGCGCTTCACAATTTCCTCTACTCGATCCATATGTGTGTTTGTCAGTTCCTTATTAATTATTTGCCAATAAATTATATGTTTCAGTTTGTTATAAGTGTGTTTTATCTGTTTTGTACCCCTACCCTCACATATTACCTCTCCTAGGCGTTTTCGTTCAGGGAAAATGAAGGTAATAGGTAAAATTGTGGAGAAAAATGACTTTTATAGGTACCCAAGACAACAGAGGCGTGCTGGTTGGCAGCAATGCCGGAGTGATGTCGGTGGATTTTGATACGTCAGGATCGTTGATTCTGGGAGCTTCCAATGACTTTGCTGCTAGGATATGGACGGTAGGGGACCAGAAATTGCGGGTGAGTCTTTAAAAATATATTGTGGGTGTTGTTTTAACACATATTTACACGGAATTGCAAATAATTTTAAAATAGATTAAAGAGAGTTATTGTAGAGGTTTGTAAAACTCTTATATAACAGTTGGAATTGTTACTGTTTTCGATATATAACAGCCTTTTTGTCAGATATTTGTAAATAATATTAAAATAGAGTAAAGAGTTAAAAAAAACTGTTACTTCAATATAACAGTTGAGACTGTTACTGTTATCGATAAATATCAGCTTAAAATAACCGCTTTTTTGTCAGACATTTGGAATTAATGTTAAATTGAGTAAAGAGTTATTGTAGAAGTTTGTAAAACTGTTACTTCTATATAACAGTTGGAGTCGTTACTGTTATTGATAGGTAACAGCTTAAAATATCAATTTTTTGTCAGGCATTTGGAAATAATCTTAGAATAGACTAAAAAGTTATTCTAGAGGTTTATAAAACTGTTACTTCTGTATAACTGTTTGAACTGTTATTGTTATTGATAGATAACAGCTTAAAATAACAGTTTTTTTGTCAGACAAGAAATAATTTTAAAATAGGTTAAAGAGCATTATTTTAGAGGTTTGTAATTTTTTTTTCTGTATAACATTTGGAACTGTTATAGTTAGTGATAGATAACAGTTTAAAATAACAGATATTTGGAAATAATCTTAAATTAGACTGAAGAGAGTTTTTATAGAGGTTTGTAAAACTATTACTTCTATATAACAGTTGGAACTGTTACTGTTATTGATAGATAACAGCTTAAAGTAACAGTTTTTTTTGTTAGACATCTGGAAATAATCTGTTACTCCTATATAACGTATAAGTTGTTTTTGAGACAATACAGCCTTCTGTTATTTTTTGCGATTAATAACTATTACCAGTGTAGTAAAACTCGTTTCGTGGTAATTCTGATGTATTGTTATTTTCATACTTTAAGTTGATTATTTTTTGCTGTACTGCTGTAATCTTGATATCGCTTACATCGCTGTTAGTGCATTATTTTTTGAAGTATAGAGCGTCTGTTAGGTTGAGTTATATTATAGTTGTATTATTGTGGGTGGTACCCATATGGATAGTTGAATTGCTACAGATTATGCGCTATTGGGAAGCAGAACGGTTCTGGGCCAGTTAATGGAGTGTTTGCTGCTTTTCTAGCTAGGATAAGATGGTCTAAGTAGTGGATACACTGTTGTGTGCCACCGTTTCTTCGTACCTGTTTACAACCGCCGATTTAATCCCTTTTTTTAACTACGCGGATCACGCACATCGTATCATCACACATCGCGCTATCGTAATTAAAATCGTGACGGGCAATGTAAAGGAGCGCAGCCCATTATAATTAATTAATTTAATTTGTAAAAAACGACATTCTTACTTGCGAAAGACGAAGAAGCGTCGCGTCGGGTGCCGGTAGTAAAAAAACGTAATGAAATATTTTAGTTGCGGAGGGTGGGGCCGAATTGAGAGCTAATCAGCGGCGCCACACTTACCACACCATTAGAGCTTTCAAATTATCCGCCCGAGTTATTTGTAATTTTAGTAAGGTAACGCCTTCTCTGGGATTGTTAGGGAGATATGGTTTCAGTGCATACAGCAGACGATATAGACAGATAGTGTCTTTGCGAAATCTCCCGAAGGTAAGGTCTGTATCACTTTACAGATTCACAGAATACGTTACATGGTTTCAGAAGTGGGATTTTAAAAAAATTAATGAAGGAATTAAGTGGATTTTGGAAGATTTTAAATTTAGACAATGGGACAAACGAGACAGCAAGCGACGAAAATGGCTGTTAAGTAATATTTTAGGAGAATTTATGAAGAGAAAAAGAAGAAAAGCGAAACCGACTACAGAAAGAAAATGAAGCAGAAAAACTAAGACGCCAGAAGAAGAATCTGAGATTACAACAGTAGCAAGATAAGCAAGAGGAACAGGACAGGCTTGAGAAAATTATAGAAGGTATAGAAGCGCGTCTTCAAAAAGAAAGACAAGAGAAACAGGACCGTATGCAGAACATTTTGGAGGGTTTTGAAGTAGAGGCATGACTAGTTTGTTAAACGAACTAGTTCCAATGAACTATTCCGACTGTGACCGATATATAATAATAGGCCAGCGTGATCGTAGCCCGATGCTAGGCAGGAGTGGGGAGTGCCAGCCGTATGTTATCGGATCCGGGCCTAGAGGAACTAAATAAAAGAGTATTTTACGTACGGATCGGCCAGCGCGTTCGTAGCCCGATGCTAGGCGGTAGTGGAGAGTGCCAGCCGTATGCTACCTGTCCTGGACCGAAAGGACTAAGAGGAACTATTAAAAGACTAGTTCACGGGAATCTATCCATTCGGCAGATCCGAGATATAATACAAGGCGACGACTATAGATTCGGCTTTGTCTATTGCCACAGCCGGCGTAATTACCACAGAAAATCGTCGTGGATACTGTCTTTGATTTTTAGTTTGTTCTTTGTATATTTTATGGGAATGTTTCACTTTAGGTCCCTAAGATGAAGAAATATCGTATAAAACGAAGTAGATATTCTGAATTTTTAGGTAAAAACAAAAATCTTGAAGTGAGAAAAAAATGCGTTTTTTTTAATTTTCGTATTATTTGCTCCAATTGATTTGCGATATATTTTTTTAAACTCTGATTTGAGTTTCTTTTTTATCTTTTTTCTGAAATAAAACTTACCTATATGTCTTTAACATACGCAATTACACGTCTCGTTATATTTCGTACATTATAAAAATCATACAGATCATACTGTGAATAGTTCTGAGTGACAATGAAACCCATTAGCAAGCAACGGGAATGTCAATGTTAGTCGGGAACTATTGTGAACTAAAGACCTAGTTCAAGGAACTAAATCCCCACCTCTATTTTGAAGCGCTCCGTCAGAAAGGAAAACTTGAAGAACTGGAACGAAACTTCTGAAAACCGAACTTCTGAAAAGCCGTCTTTGCCGTGTTTATGCAAAATACAAAGTAACTATCACACTGACTGGAATAAAGAATATTTCTTTATTGAACAAGCGAGAAAAATGCAAGGTTGCAGCAAAATGCAATGCCTCAGGAATGGGTGGGTTAAAATGGGCGCGTCATTCATTTCACTGTAAAGATTAAACTGCGCAGACTGGCCTGCACATTCAGACTGTGTTAAAAAACTGAGCTTCTGTGGGGGCTCTTAGATACGCGTTCAAATTTTAGTTTTTGTAATAACTATGCTTGGGGTCGAAATTATACATTCAAATTGTTAAAGAAGAATTATTATGATTAACTAAAATATTAAATTTATATCATCTGATGTTACCTTAAAAGTGGTTGTATTTAACATTACAGAAAATGCTACTTGATTAACGTTAACGGTAAGTACCTATACTGCAAGTACTGCCTATCGCGTTCGTTTAACTTTTAATGATATCATATTTTTTTGTGGCGCCTTTTTATTCTCGTTCTTCGCGAACGCTTCGCTGATTGAATTGTCCATTGGCGTACAAGAACTTTAATTGCAAAACCGGACTATAAATACACGCTTTTTCAACGCCGTGTATAAAATGCAAACGATGTACTTTTCCGATATCGATACTCATCGGATATATTTAATTATTATTTTAATATCTTTGCAAGTTTAAAAAAGGATGGCTTCTTAATAGACAATCAAATTTCGAGACCTAAGAGGTCTAAGTGTATTGAAAATAAGTTGAATTTCAATAGATGACATCAAAAATATTTAAATTTTTGAAGTGGAATAATAAAATTAAGAGAACATTTATTTTAACTGTTTCTTCTATAATACTTTTGGTCAAAGTAGAAATTAATTCTAAATAAATAAAACAAAATGGAGTAAGTTACACTATTTATAACTTAAGAACGGCTTGGCCGAAAAGTTCTAATATATCGATATTTTCTCTATCGATATTTTGAGTGTCCATATTCTTTAGTTATTGTCCTTTTACTGCTGGAAGCAACTTGTTTGATGCATTTTACTCCCTATCTCGTTCGTTATTGTAATATTTATCGATATTTTGAAATGTGATCATTATATCGATATTTGATATTTTCTGTATGGATATTTTGACCCATCTCTAATTACGGTCGTTTTACTGGTGAGATCCAACTGCTTGATATATTTTACGTCATATCTCGATCGTTATCGTAAGGTATATCGATATTCTGAAATTTACCAATATATCGATATTTTGACCCATCTTTAGTTACGGTCTTTTTACTGCTGAAATCCACCTGCTTGATATATTTTACGCCATATCTCGATCGTTATCGTAAGGTATATCGATATTCTGAAATTTACCAATATATCGGTATTCTGAAATTTACCAATATATCGATATTTTCTGTATCAATATTTTGACCTATCTCTAGTTACGCTCTTTTTACTGCTGGAATCCACCAGCTTGTTGTATTTTAGTCCCTATCTTTGTCGTTATCGTAAGGTATATCGATATTTAATTTTTTTTGATATATCGATATTTTGTGTATCGAAATTGTTTATATCAATATTTTGATTAATCCCTAGTTATGGTCTCTTTACTGCTGGACTCCACGTGCTTGATGCATTTTATTTTTTATGTCTACCTTTATCGTAAGGTATATCGATATTTTGAAGTTATTTTTATATCGATATTTTTTGTATCGATATTTTGACACATCTCTAATTACGTTATTTTTATTTGCTGGAATCCACCTGCTTGATATATTTTAGGACATATCTCGATCGTTTTCGTAAGGTATATCGATATTTACAATATATCGACATTTTGACCCATCTCTAGTTACGCTTTTTTTACTGCTGGCATCCACCCGCTTGTTGTATTTTATTCCCTATCTTGATCGTTGTAAAGTATATCGATATTTTAAAAAGTTTTCAATATATCGATGTTTTGTGTATCGAAATTTTCTATATCGATATTTTTATTCATTCCTAGTTACGGCCTCTTTACTGCTGGGATCCACGGGCTTGATGTATTTTACTCCTTATTTCTATCTTTATCGTAAGGTATATCGATTTTTTGAAAAGTTTAATCATTGTATTGATGTTTTTTGTATCGAAATTTTCTATACAATATTTTGATTCGTCCCTAGTTACGGTCTCTGCACTGCTGCATATGTGCTTGATTGTATTTTACTTCCTATTACCTTCGATCTTTATTGTAAGGTATATCGATATTTTGAAAAGTTATTATTATATCGATATTTTCTTTATTGATATTTTGCCTCATCCCTAGTTACGCCCCTTTTACTGCTGGAATCCACCTGTTTGCTGTATCGTTATCGTAAGGTATATCGTTATTTTAAAAATGTCTCACTATATCGATATTTTCTGTATCGATATTTTGTCCCATCTCTAGTTACGCTCTTTTTACTGCTGGAATCCACCTGCTTGATGTACTTTACTCCCTATCTCGATCGTTATCGTAATAACAGAGGCACGGTAATGTACCTGCTCGTATTTTTCCCCTTTAATTACGTTTGGCGCGGAACTGGGTATTAGGAAAACAGCGTTTCGCGCCTCGTTTTTCGAGGAGCGCGTCTCCTTAATTAATTACCTCCTTGGCTCTTCTTAGGTGTGAAATTTCATTTTGTTTTTGCTACGGCGGTGTTTGGCGTTCGGCGGTGTATTCATTCTGAGCCTTTTTTGCTTGCTACTTCCTTTCAAAGACCTGACTTTTTTTCTTGGTTAAATTGATTGGATATTGTCACGTTTGTAACTTTTTAGATGGAAATCTAAGGAAATAGTCCATATTTTGTATCGTATATTGTAATCCCATTAAAAACATTAAATGTAAAAATACTCTGTTCTTCACTACAAAAAGTTGAGTGAAATTTCATGTAAAACCAAGTCATTTATTTTATTAAATAACTATGGAAGCACATTTATAGTGGAATATTAGTTAGACATCTTTATTTCTAAAATACGATCGAAAAAAAAACGGCGTCAGGGACGGCTGGGGAAGGGCAATCGATAATAATTTTGACGAGGTCATTCTCTAGGCGTCATTTACTAAAAAATGACATAAGACTTGACTAAATTAACAATAATTATATAAAAATGAATGAAGGATACAACGTTTCCAGACTATGCAGTGTAGAGGTATGGAGAAATATCTTCGTGCACTAAAAATGGTCATAAAAAAGGGAAGACTTAAGATGGCGCTGCTGTAGCAAAAATTTAAATTTAAAATATGCGCCGAAAAATTTTAGAACAGGAAATGATTCGAAAGAGATAAATATTTAGCGTGAAGGCGCGGGTTTCAAAAAAATACAAATTTTATTTTTATGCCAAATGAAATAAATTATCGATTTTTATTCAGCAGCAATAGACTGGGCGTCTAATAGCTGACATTAATTGTTTTATATTCAAAAAAATAAAAACAAAGCTTTTTTGTGTAATGTTTGGTTATGTTACTTTTATTCTCTTATCTATGGTCATTTTTAATTTTTTAGATTTATGCGTCATTAGCGCTACTGTAGTCACTTGGTGAACCCTAATTCTTCCCATTTTTGTGACCACTTTTTCAAGTAAAGTCCCATAAGAGATATTTCTCCTCATCTCTACATTCCATAAGGCCAACTAACAGTAAGCGACATTAAAAAATAAAGAAGAAGGTAACGTAATTATAAACGTAAGTAAACCCATTAATGACGTCTAGGGCTTGACCTCGCCAAAATTATCGTCGATTGGCATTGCCCAGCCATCTTGGACGCCGTTTTTTTTCGATCGTATGGTACAATAAGAAAGAAAAATAAAATCGCTGATATTTTATATATAAAATTATATGGGGAATATCATCGATCGATTTGTCTTATACAAATACCGTATGATAAAAAAACCGTTGGCGTTCACTTGGCTTGGAAATGACGCGATCGATGACATTCCCTGTATAATTTTGATCGATGACATTCCCCATATAATTATACATCTAGATGTATATGAAAAAAAGGATATAAATAAAACAATAATATTTCAAAAGTTATACTTTTTATTACGTATCACTAAATACGTCGATTACAGGAAAAAATAAAAACACGCTCTCACGTAAGAGAGCCGTCGAAATATTCGAAGAAATAACTTAAACAATAAATATAGAATTGATAAAAATAATATTGCTTACTTATAATTAAGACTATTTATTAATAATCGTAAAAAAGACATAGTATGGTATATCATTAATATATTAAGGCAAATAAAATACCACGCGAACATTACTGTCGAGATTTATCCCATATTCACCACGTTGCCGTTTTTTTTTCGGTTAAAACACGATTTTTCGAACAAACCGGCAACGTGGCAAATTAAGAGCCTCTCTCTTTCTGTAATATTCGCGCACGATCGTCAGCTTCGAGGACAAGCTCTCTTAAATAAACAGACACACGTAGCGTAGAGCTATCTCAGCGCCAAAACAGCACACAAACAAAGACAGGCAATCGTTCTTTGATTTCTTTCTCGCTAGGTCGTCCAGGAAGCCTCCGATTCTAAAGCCGGGTTCACGCCGACAGGAGCGTTTAATTGGCGCAGTGTAGGTAGGATAAATAGCCTGCTAATTGAGGCTAATTATCTGTGGCTGATATGTTGTAATTAGCCAGTTAATTGTAAATAATCCGTGAAGAGATATAATGAAATTTGTATTATTCACTGTAACATATTAACAAAAAAAAATATTTATCAGAATTTTGAATTAATGTGATGCGTGACTAATATTACAATTAGTTGGCTAATATTGTAACGAATAAGCTAATATTACACAATAATATTCTATAAGCAGTATATTCTACTATTCATTGCTAATGATCAACGTTAAATTATCACCTAATCACGAGTATTCTGTATTTCGTCTGTTTCTACGTTAAATATATAAAGTTAGGATTCCACAAACAAAAATATACAGTGTGAACGAAGTAAAATTACGTAATAATTCGATCTTAGACTGCTTGTGTATATATTTATTAAAGAAATAATGGCAAAAAAGAAAATAATATTTTTCCTTTTCTCTTCTCCTACACTAATAATAATAATAGGTAATGTTAAAGCGACATAAAAATTATAAATAGTAAATAATAATTGTAATAATTAAATAATAATATTAAATGATATTAATAACAATAAGTTGGTCGCGTCGATGACTTCTAACTTACCCGAGTGACTTGACTGTGTCTTTTTATTATTTTTCTAATTATTACTATTATTAAATTTGTCAGCCTTCCGGGTAAGCTTGCTAAATCTTGCCGAAGTCTATCGCGCAAGCGTGTGTCGCGGTCACATTCATTTAGTATAACCTACAAAATATATACAGGGTGTTCTGAATTACGTACCGAGTCCAAACTTTCCATACTATAAGTACCAAACAAACTTTTAGTTACATAATCGAAGGCGCGATTTTTAAATTCATTGTTGCCAACCGTGGACATATTCGGCGCCGGGCTGACTAACTGGAATTTAAATTTGCCGCTGGCTATTCGGGTGGTAGCTCTGCTATAGAAAATGTCAAGTTGTCATAATTATTTACTGAATATTTGATTCGATTTGATAAAGAAAAATGTCCTTTTTGGTTTAACTAGCAGAGCTTGTAGTCGAAAAATGTTCTTTTAGAACAGTTTGTAGTGTGCAAGGTGCTGCAGCAGCTTAATAGCCGTTAACAGCCTTAACATTTTTGTTTCCTAAAATATTTTGATTAAAGGAAAATATGTAAGAGTCAGCAACGCTGTGCCGACTGACAGAACAACTATATTAATAATATAATACACATAATTTTAGACTCTTCTGTCCAAAATTATATGTATTACAAGGTGTATTATATTGTTATTTTATCCTGGCAAAGATTGGTGTACGTAATTTAAACCACCCGTTATATTATAGATAGGTTCATAACAAAATGGTTCAACTAAACGTACCCTAGTGCAAATCGTATTTATTTCGTTGTAACGCACAGAACCGTCTTGTTACTAACCTATTTTCAAAGCTTAGGAAATTCTTGCATCGTGTATAAATATAAAAATACTCAAACCTCGTTCTAGAGGTTTTTCTCGATTACTACTGCGCAGGTAAAAGGAATAGGCGCGTATTTGAATGAAAAAAAAACACAAAATATTAAAGTCCTGTTCTGTACAGATGGCGCGCGCTAGACATTTCAAAACCTACGCGCGTGCGTGTACCCTCCCTCGTACAATTTGCACAAGCTATCTGTGCGCGATGTCGACAACTGCGACGCCACCCCCATGGGATCTTGTCGCAGCTTGTCGCTGAGTCTTCTGCGCTGCCAGACGAAGGTCCAGACAGCTACCAGCAGAACTTGGACGACCAGGAATAAAATGGCGGCTCCGATTAGACCGGCCATATTGACGCAAAGACCTGGTTCGTTGCTGATGAACACCGCTTCGCTGCCGATGGACGTTTGGTTGGAGCCCTTGTCAAAGCCGAATTTGTCGCTGATCTGGATGGATTGGACTAGAACCAGGTCGTCTTGGGCTTGGGAAGCGGAACGTCTCCTTCTTCTGCGGCCGTAGGAGACTACCGATCGGAGCTCACCGGTGGATTCTTCCTGGTCGCATTGGACAGGCTCGCAGCTGGGCATGCAGGGCGTTACCAGGGCTCTGAACTGGACTACTTCGGAAGACGGGAACTTGAAGGCGTCGAAGTGGGACAGTAGTACCTGGAAAAAATAGGTTAGAGTTAGAATTCAAATTTATCAAAAGCATGTTAAGGGTAAAACTGAAAAGAAGAACCTAAGAACGGTTCTACATTTCCTATGTCATTGTCCGGCTTTCAACCAACCAGATCCTAAGAACCATAATGGAAACGATTATACAGGGTGTCCTAGAAATAAGGGCAAGCATTTTAACGGGTAGTGCAGTTCGACTCCAGACATACGCCCATGTGTTTTTTTTGTGAAAAAAAATGTTGAAAATTTTACGTTTTTCTTGACATATATTGAAAAACTTTTGAGTGCCGCTTTTTCGGGAAATTTGTTTAGGTGCTTCGAGAGAATGCAATGTTGCCATCTCCTATATATCCTATACAGGGTGGCGCCTCTCATACGACGCGGAGGCTCCAAGGAGAACGGGAGTTTATATCGAATTGTAATTTTGGGAGCATATGTAGGTTAATTGAAAGCATTTTATAAAAATATATAGAGTTTTACAGGGTGTCCCCAAAAAAGTTACGCATCAAAGTCGGTTTTTTTGTAATGGAACAACACCCTATACTGGGTGCGTTTCAAAAGTGGCTCACTCCTATAACATTTTTATTTTCTCAGATAAAAAACGAGGTTTTGTATATTAGTATATGACATAAATTAGGATTGATTGACATGATCAATTGTTTTTGGCCACTCCCTGTTTCCTGGTACACTATATATTGCAAATTAAAACACGATTTTTCTGTAAGCAAAAATGTTAAACGTTCACATATGATCCGTCATTCTATTCAGAGTGTCATTTTCTATCAAATAAAGTAGAAATATACCGAGGGTGCCATTTAAAAAAAGTTGTAGTTGTATTTGTCCAAAAGTTGTAGTCATTTCCGGTGAAACAAGAAATGACCAAAAACAATTGAATACGTCATTCAATACTAATTTATGTCAAATACAACATACCAAATTTCGTTTTTTTATCTGAAAAAATAAAAACGTTATACGGGTGAGCCACTTTCGAGACGCACCCGGTATTTTTAGATTGATATCACAGACTATTGATAAACAGCCTGTCAACTTAATATCATTTGCATGGAAATCTGCGTAGTTACCTAGATATTCACTTATTTTATGTTAAGACGAATTTCCACCTAAGTATCTCTCCCTCAAGTATTTTCTATACAGGGTGTCCCAGAAATAAGTGCAAGTATTTTAAGGGGTGGTAGATCTCGATAAAAGAAACATGTTTTCTCTTTATCGTTTTTGAAATAAGTCCAAAATAACGGAGTTATTTTACTTTGAAAATTTCCAAAAAAAAAAGATTTTTTGCTAAAATTTTGAGAACCACTGGATCTTTTCTGGATTTTCTTTCTTGTAAATTTAATCTAATACCTATGTTGCCATATTATCAAGAAATGATGTTTTTTAACTAAAAACTAAAAAAATTCCAAAAGAGATTTCAAAAAATTTGGAATTTTCAAATTTTTTTTTGGCGTATTTTTGGGGCTGAACTATACTACGAGTTAAAATACTTGCACTTATTTCTGGGACACCCTGTATCGTTTAATATCTTTTTAGGTTAAGTATGTCATTTATTTGCAGTGGATATTAATTATTAAAAATAAGTTATAAGCGTGCGTGACGTGAGCTGTCAATTGCGGAAAATGGCACAGTTCTAATCCTAGTTTATTTAGGAATTAGACTACATACTTAGAGACGCACCCGGTATATTAATTGATCATTAAGGAAGCTGTAAATTCAGAAGCAGTAGATTTTTGATTTCAAAACTATTTTTCTACAAAAAGAAAGAAAGGGAATTAATCTAATCTTGATTTGTGCTTAGATCTGATCCCCCGGAAATCATCTACATAAAAACAAAATCGAAGACTGTTTCGTCGATACAAATCGAAAAAGTGCTTTAAATCGATGTCGTAAATCCACTTTTTTCTCCTCCTTTATTGACCCATATATTTCTGGATTGACGCTTAGCGTTAACGGTACAGCGCCAGCGTGAGAATGCTTCGAACTTGTGAAGGCCGCTTAACCTGGTAGCAGCAGGCGCATAAATTAAGGGGGCTCGTTAAAAACCGAGCGAAATTAGTTTAGAAATAAAAGCAAACCGGTCGTTAATCTCCAGGAAATCGATTTTATCTCTTAATCGGTGAGAAATTTGATTTGTGTGTGTGCATCATACGGTAGTTTATGGAACGTTCTAATCGCGGGCATGTACCGCGGACAAACAAAAGAATTAGAGTTTAGAACGGATATTAAGCGGCTAGGGTTATTGTCTATTTTTCATAAGTTAAGGTGGCTTGGGAACCGACGCGACGTCTGAAAACGTCTGAATGACATGATTTATACATGATAATGACACGATTTTCGAAAGAAATCAGTACATGTATATTATTTCGTATATTTTTCATTTTATTGATTTTATGGAAAGCACTGTTCATTAAAATGTTGTATCCTATGTTATAGGGCTTGTTTCTTTCTACAATTTCCTGTCTCACAATGTACCGTTTGTGTCCGGGAAGGGGTCATAGTTTCATAGTTGTCGATTTTCGAAAGAAATCAGTACATGTTTATTATTTCGTATATTTTTCATTTTATTGATTTTATGGAAAGCACTGTTCATTAAAATTCCTTGGGAGGAACTAGTTCCTTAGTTCTAGTTCCTCCAGAGGAATAGTTCCTTGAACTAGGTCTTTAGTTCACAATAGTTCCCGACTAACATTGACATCCCCCTTGCTTGCTAATGCGTTTCGTTGTCAGTCAGAATATAACGAGACCTGCACTTGTGTATGTTAAAAACATATATAGGGAAATTGGAAGAACTTTCGTTGCACGTCATTAATGACACCACGCGTCGTCTTACGGAGTTTGCTGGTGGTCGTATTATGATGTGTAACGAAAGTTATTTTAATTTCCCTTATAGGTAAGTTTTATTGCAGATAAAAAATATAAAAAAGAAACTCAAATCAGAGTTTAAAAAACTATATCACAAATCAATTAGAGCAAATATTACAAAAATGCATTTTTCCTCACTTCAAGCTTTGTGTTTTTGTCTAAAAATTCAGAATATCTACTTCGTTTTATAAAATATTTCTTAATTTTAGGGACCTCAAGTGAACATTCCCATAAAATATTTAAAAAACAAACTAAAAATCAAAAACAGTATCCACGACAATTTTCTGTGGTAATTAGGCCGTGCCGGCTGTGGCAATAGACAAGGCCGAATCTATCATCGTCGCCTTGTATTATATCTCGGATCTGCCGACTGAATAAATTTCCGTGAACTAGTCTTTTAATAGTTCCTCTATGTCCGGATCCGATAACATACGACTGGCACTCCCCACGCCTGCCTAGCATCAATCGCACTGGCTGATCCATACGTAAACTAGTCTTATTTAGTTCCTCTAGTTCCTTTAGGTCCGAATCCGATAACATACGGCATATAGCTGGCACTCCCCACTCCTGCCTAGCATCGATCGCGCTGGCCCGATTCGTACGTACGTAAACTAGTCTTTTATTTAGTTTAGTTCCTCTAGGTCCGGATCCGATAACGTGCGGCTGGCATTCCCCACTCCTGCCTACCATCGGGCTACGCGCGCTAGCCGATCCGTCGCCGTCGCATATCATTCTATATCGGTCACAGTCTCGATCCCGGAATAGGTCCTGAGGAACTAGTTCTTTGAGAAACCAGGAACTAGTTCCTTTCATTCCGGGGTCGGAATAGTTCATTGGAACTAGTTCGTTCACGCACTACACACCTCTATTGTATGGTGCCGAAGCTTGGACCCTTAAATCTACCGAAATCAACAAACTGGTGGCTTTCGAAAGATGGTGTTATCGTTGCATGCTACGAATTTCTTGGGTCGACAGAGTAACAAATATTGAGGTACTACGCCATATAAAGAATAAATAAATAAAAATTTCAAAAAAATAGAATATTTTCCACATTAAAAGGTCTTAAGTACCAATTACCGTAGAATATTATGGAGGCGAAAATCCAACGAGGACGTAGTCGGGGCAGAAGAAGAACATCCTGGCTGACGAACCTCAGAGAGTGGTATGGAATGAGATCTAACGGATTATTTAGAGCAGCATCAAATAAAATAAAAATAGCCATGATGATAGCCAACCTTCATTACGAGACGGTACTTGCAGAAGAAGAACAGTACTGTATTAAGTAGAGCGTTAATTCACACATAAGAGGTACAGAATTTGAACGGAACTTTGATAATTTTGTAATTATATAATAATAGCTCCCGTATATAGCGTTTAACGCCTTGGGAGTAGCAAGGTACAGCTTGCCATATTAGAGCCTTTCGGTATACAAGGAAGGTAATGTGGCTAGCACTACGCTTCAACCTCCTATTATTACCTCAGGATTGATGGCTGATGCAATGCCGGGTGTCGGATTCGAACCCACTACCTTGGGATTGGTAGGCAAGAGCCTGTACCTCTATGCCATCGGGCACCTTAATTTTGTAATTCCCATCTTATATCTTTGCTTACCTTGCCTGACTCTGCGCTCTTATATATCGGTCCCATGATGAAATGATCAGTTGGACAACCGTCAGAATCGATAAGAACGATTTCGCTGGAGTCTACTCCGTCCATAGCCACCAACTCGCGAACGAATATCTCGTAGGGACTGTTCTTGTCCAGGATCTCGAATTTGAGGGCCAGAGGGTCTCCTACTTCGGCCGATTGACGCATCTCTTCACCGCTGCGTTCTGTGATGCGCATGGCTACGTTAGGCGAGTCCACTATCACTTCCTCTGACAGAGCTGTGGAAGAAAAAAGTATGGGTTTCGTTAGAATTATTTAAATTAAGTTGATTTAAGAAATATGTTAGAACGGACCGGTTTGGTTTGGTCGATAAATTTTAAATCACACTGTTAACAGATACCGTGATTTTTTTAATATAAGTGATTTTAAACAGTGACATGATTATGACTTTCATATACAGGGTGGTCCGAACTGTATTCCGGAAACTTTGGCAGCATATTCTGCAGATAAAAATAAGTAAAAAAGTTCGTATAACTGTATGTCCGAAAATGCTTAGTTTTTGGAGATACAGGGTGTAGAAATTTCATTTTTATTTCGATTTTTTTCCAAATAATTTCTGAAATAACGTCAATATTTGGACGAAAATGTCTGGGGGTTTTTGACATGTGAAATTTGATTTTTATGTCAATATGACTCCTACTTGTAGAGGGCGCCACATATATTTTTTTAAATAGTTTGAAGAGTAAAAACTTTTTGTCTGTACCTGTATAAAACTAGTGAGTAAAAAATTATAAATTTATGACATTTTTTACGTAAAAAAGGTCTCTTGGTAAAAATCGCCAAGAGTAATGGTTCTCAAGATATTTGGAATCGAAATTATCAATACCTGTCATTGGCATAAATCAAACTTGCTGACTAAATAATTATAAGACTGAAATCATAAATTTGAAATGTTTTTGTGCCAAAAGTTCAATAGATACTATTTTTATCATCATTTTTTCGAAGAAAAATTTATGGTTAATTAAAAAATAGAAAAAAGTTCCGAAATTTATCCTATACCTACCTAAAGTTATTTTTAGTCAATAATGACATGTATTGACTATTTCCATTCTAAATATCTTAAAAACGTAAAACTCGTAGCGATTTTTACTAAGAGACATTTTTTACGTAAAAAATCACGGAAATGTATATTTTTTCACTCAGTAGTTTTATACAGGTACGGACGAAAGATTATTACTCTTCAAACCAGTTAAAAAAACATGTAGGTGGCGCCCCCTACAAATACGAGTCATATTGACATCAAAATCAAATTTCTCATGTCAAAAAACTCCCAGACACCAATTTTCATCCAAATATTGCCGTTACTTCAGAAATTATTTGAAAAAAATCGAAATAAAAATGAAACTTCTACACCCTGTATCTCCGAAACGAAGCATTTTAGGACATACATTTATACGAACTTTTTTACTTATTTTTATCAGCAGAACATACTGCCGAAGTTTCCGGAATACAGTTCGGACCACCCTGTATTATGGCTCATGGCTATAGCTAATGCAGGATATCGTGACATGATACAGTCATTTTATATCAGTGATTTTAAAGCGTGATAGGGTGGTTAATTTTTAATTGTTTCCTTAAGTGTGACGTGATCTTGTGAAGTCTTATATTGGATAAAAAATACAGATTTCTGTATCTCAGAGAGAAGCTAGACTAATATGTGCCAAAACCAATTTCATTCAGGTTTTCTACTACTATAGTATAGTGATGATAATTTATGAATAAATTTAAGTCAGTAAGCTTGCATCCTACCTGGTGTTATATCTCCATGCACTCCCAGATCAACTTCGTTAGTAACACTCTTGTTCGTTAAGTCGTATTGACAGGTCACAGCCAAACCCAAATCGCTGCTAGTGACGATTTTGTCGTGATGCTGAATAACTACGTCGTTAACATATCTAAAATTCAAACCCGTTACTCTGTTTCTCAAAAATTTATTAATATAAATTCAATTTTTACCTTCCCAATCCACTCTTCCTCACATTACATTCCAAATTATCGAAACCCATGCTCAGCTCGAACTCCAAACTGTTGTTGACATCTTTGACGCAAGAGTTCGGACTGCCTTTGGCGTAGATCTTGCCGTCAAACAGCCGGCTCGTTTGGATGCGGGCAACCATGTCTCCTGAGCGACAGTCGATGCTGACGTTGTAACATGAGCTGAGTTCGTAGGTAGAGGCTTCGGGGACGTCTAAATAAGGATCTTGTATGTCGGAAAGCGTCGCGCGGGCGTGATGGCTCAATCTGCACACCATCTCGCCAGTGTCACCGTAGTCGTACGAGTGGCATCTGTAGGGGGAGCTCAGGCAGAGTTCTCTGCATTCGTCAACCGACCCTACGTCTTGGTATACAGAGTCCACCTAAAAAGAATGATCATGTTTAAGATTGTTAGTTTCAGTTTGTTTAAAATTTTTGTTGATTAAAACGGTAACTTAAGAGTGTATTACGATACAGGGGTCGGGTATAGCGGGTGTGTGGCCGAAAGAAATTTATATTATATTTCAGAAATCTTTCTAAGGCTTAGCCCGATTTTGTCGTGTACCAAATTACCCAAAATTCCAAACGCACGTGCTTTGATTAAGGCTTGATTCACGTTTGCATGTAGAGCTTCAGCATTTGCCATAAAATAGCAAACAATTTGTTAGAAAACCCTATAAATTATATATCACTGTAACCACAAAACTTCAATCTATTTCCGTGTTGTAAAACAATTTTAAAGTATGTCTTTATTTTCGAGAAAATTTAGTCCAAACATAGGGAACATTTTGTTGATGTTTGACCATCAAAATCTTAAAAACAAAGAAGTTGTCTAAAAATCTGCTAGAATACGGATATAGTAAAATCCTTTATATTTAAATTCATTCTTCATTTGTGGTAAAAATACCTAGACAGTTTTACAAAAAACGTTAAATGCCGAACGCTAATTTTGCAACTTTTTCGGACTAGTGAAATGGGCTTTTAAAATTCTTCTTCTTAACAGGAGATTGGGAGAATACGAGCCCTAACAACTATATGTTGGGACAAGGTCTTTTTTTGCAATAAAAATAGTAGGTAATTTGTTAAAACGACTCAATTTATTTTTTCTAAATTCAAACATTACAATATGATTTAGACAATTTTACTATATTTTTATAACTTTGCAAACAAATCATTTTTGATAATAGCTTATTTTGACAAAATCAAGCCAAATTTGCTGACAACTATATATTGGGACAGCACAACAAGAAATTTGTTTAATACAGAGTTACATCACCTTTCGCCTTAACAACTTCCCGAATTCTTAATGGCATTGTATTTACCAAAGATTGGCACATTTGAGGAGAAAAATTATCCCAAATTTCCTGCAGTTTTGTCCGCAAATCAAAAATTGTTCGTTGAGGGTGGTTTCTTAAATATTGCTTCATTTTATGCCACACAGTTTCTACAACATTGAGGTCCGGACTACTTGAAGGATGGGATAGAACTTTTATATTATTATTACCGAACCAATTTTTAGTTGATCTTGCTGAACGGCACGATGCTCCATCTTGTTGGAAAATATAGTCTTCGTTTGGAAACAATTCTTGAGCACTAGGCAAAAGAGAGGTCTCAAGAATATGTTGATATTTTTGGGCGTTAACAGTGCCATCTATAAAATTTTATTTGCCCAAACCTCTTGCTGACATGCAACCCCAAACCATAATCTCCTTAGGAAATTTAACAACCCTCTTTAAGCAATCTTTATGAAAGTCTTCTGCTTTATTTCGTATTATTCGTTTTCGATGATCTCCAACGCAAACATGAAATTTAGACTCATCGCTAAATATGACCTTATTCCAATCATTTTGTGTCCACGATAATTTAGATTTTGCTCAAGTGTAGCGATTTTTCTTTTGAATTTCTGTCAGTAGCGGTTTTTCTTTGGCCTAAATATGAATATGTATCAATAATCTTCAGGTAATTGATTATCCACACAAAATAAAGTTTACCTTGTAAAACCTCAGACCGCATTTGTGGATATATTTTCGGCAACATTCTCTTGATATATTTAAACCAGTTACAGTATTCCATTTAACTGTTACTTCGCCAAGAGTACTTCTTCTCGCAGACTTGCAAATTTTTACTAAATTTCGTAAATCTCTCTGAGATACAACTTTTGGCCTTCCCGAACTTTTACCTCTAACGTCTACGTTGGCAGATTCGCCGTATTTTTTTTATTATATTAAAGACCGTGGTTTTTGGAATACTTCAGAAATCATCAGAAATTTTTCGAATTGTTTTTCCCGTACTGTACTGACGAATGATAATTTCGCGTAGTTTTTGATTTGTAGCTTTTCCACGGACCATTACTTTGGATTAAATTAACAAAATTGAAAATTAAAAATTAAAATTTCTTACAGTAAATCTCACTACTCAAAGTATCGAGTCACTTACAAGCTGTCAATGCTGAAGTAAACAGTTTGCGACATTTGTGACGTTTATAGAAAGCCGCCTATGATGATATTAATTATTTAAAAATACTTGTCCCAACATTTAGTTGTCAGCAAATTTGTCCTTTTATGAACAAAATCCGCTACTGTAAATATGGATTGATTTACAAATTCATAAAAATATTGTCAAGTTGTTTAGGATATATGGCTATGTTTATATTTAAAAAATTAAACATATATTTTTCAGTCATTTTGGAAAACCAGGGCAATAATTCCATAATATGACCTTGTCCCAACATATAGTTGTTAGGGCTCGTAGGAGGGAGGGAGGGACTGGCAAAACTGTAGCAAGTAATTTTTATCTTACCGTTTTCAGTATTCTTCCTGATAGTTTCTTGAATTCGCACAGTTTGGTTGGTTCCTCGATGCAGTTATTCTCCATGTAATCGTAACCGTCCGCTGCTATGAACGAGTTACTTCCAGCCAAAGTGATACGGTCCATCGCTGATAACTCGCAGTTTCCAGTAGCGTTGCTGAAACTGGCCGATCTGTAAAAAAAGAATGGAAAAATTGAGTTTAATATTCACCAATTACTACCAGAAAGGTGAAAATAGTACAAAGATGTTTCCAGCTTATGGTATCTAAGTGGTTCATGATTTTGTTGTCAATAATAAATGAGCTTTCAATAAGCACCCGACTGTCGGCTAGCTATATGCCTGAAACGCATCTTCGACTACTTTGAACACATTGCTCGAAGACCTGCCGACAACATGGAAAACAATTATTATAACGGTGATGTCCAGGAAAAAAGTGTAGAGGTCGGTTCCCAACAAGATGGATCGATCAAGTAAGACAAACAACCGGATCTACCCCTACAAAACCCCTACACTCACCTATCCATCGAGTTGAAGACAGATTAGCCTGGAAAGATCTTATAAAATAAAAAGGTATTCTCATAAAAGTTACGACCCTCAACTATGAGGAACGATTGGAAAGCGAGAGAGAGATGTTACTTGAATTGATAAATTTAGAAAACATATTGACCACTAACTATACAAAAGGGATGATGATAAGTTATTAGTTTTTTTAATTGTAATCATAGGAGTTTTAAAGTTTATTGATGATAAAATCAACTAATACTGTCATTATTGTTGTTTATTGACGGTGTTGAAATAAGACGATCAAAAATGGACATTTTAAATCTATTGGAAGAAAACAGACACAAAATTGACGTATTCCAACAGGAATAGCGATGTGTCGCAGGTTGTTGAACCTGCTGTCATCGACGTTTCGCGACGGACAGCAGCATCGGCACCGGTCGTCTGCGAGCGGGAGCGTCGAAGGCAGATGCTGCTACTTGATCGGGAGGCAAACAATGCGGATGCCGCTGAAAATATCCTATAAACGCCTAATCACGATGCCGTAGCCGACGCGCAGAATTCGATCCTCGGCCTTTATAAGTCTGGAAGCTCACCGCGACACCCGCAGATTCTCAATTCTTACGGTTAATCAGAAAAAAAAAATAGAAGAAAAAACAGATTAATTCTAAAATATTTTTATAAAAAAATTGCGTGTGCTCGATGTGCGGATTTTTTCGCCATTGATGATGGAGTTTCGTAGTGCATGAAACGTCGTCAAAATATAAAGATTGGAGATTATCCGATATAATACCACAAAAATAAGGTTACTGTTTATATTACATTAAGTGTGTTTTATGGCCATTAAAAATCGACAAGTTTACTAGCTTCAACCAGGAATCTGTGTTATAACAGGTATTATTAAGGTCTTTCTATATTTTATAGACCTGTTTAATGGGACCCTTTATTGTAGACTGTCCAGCAGGGAACCAGAAATAGCAAGGCACATTCTTTGTGACTGTGAGTCACTTACCCGCATATGATAGAAAATATGTAATATCATACAAGCCGAGTCCCAGAGATTTTTAGCCGACCATACCAATAGGTATGGTAGGCTATTAAGATCGGCAAAAAAAAGTTTTTTAAATTTTACTCAAAATGAGTTATTTGGATCATAAATGACCTAAATACAAAATATTTTCATGGTGTCTGTCTGTCTGTCTGTATGTAACACGATATCTCAAAAACCGCTAAACCGATTTTAACCAAACTTGGCACAAAAATACTGTGGCACCCGAGAATCTGGCCACTGGTTTTTGGTGGGGGTGGGGGGTTGGTAAGGGGGTATGGGAGGGGGTTAAAAATTTAAAAAAATCGTAACTCCAAAATTACACTAGCTAGCGAAACGCGGTTTTCAATTTAAGATTAGGAATAATATTTGCAACAAAATTTGTAATAACATCAAAATCAGTCAAAGTCGCAATGAACTGCCTACCAACTTATTTTAGTATGGGCGGCTGTACGTGCCTCCCGGCGCCAATTTTTTATAGTCAAAACGATAATTCTCATTGAATTTAAGTGAAGATAAGCATGCAAAAGAGAGAACTATACTCTGTTTTTTTTCTCAGGTAAGATTTCGACAGACGATGACAGAAGAAAAGCAGATGACGTCCCATACCAATCTATTTATTTTACTAAAAAAAGTTTCTAATAATTTTTAAGTTATCTATGGATGGGTTTAAATATAAATCCGTCATGCGTCGTGTCTTGTTGTTTTTAACCAGTTTTATTGGTTTATTTAAAAAATGACAGATCGTATTTCAATTTTATTGGTTTGACGGAACGATGAACGACAAACGGACGCCGATGCGTATGAACTCGCCTTTAGATTTTTGTCATTTTTGACGCTTGTCAAAGTCTTGCCAAATTCTAGGTTATAATTTTGTGTCAACTTTTGTTAAATACCCTGCGTTTTGGAATATGATGCATTTTGATTCGTATTATTACGTGTGTTTTGTGTCTTTTGAAGTCAAGTGGAGGAAAAATCGAGTGAAAATTAACTGTAGACCCAGAGCACAGTTTATGGTTAATACTCGCTGCCAGGGCAGAAAGTCTTATACACCAATGAAGTTGCTATCGATAAAGTTTGTATACCATTTCGTCGTAGATAAGTGCATCTTGTATATGGTAGAAGGATCAAACTAAACACATACTAAAAACTGGAGTAGCTGTAAAATATCGATATCACACGATAGGTAAATAATGGATTTTAGTACTGCAGAAAAATAATGTCAAAAGGTACTGGTTTAAAAAAATTAAGATTAAAGTTAATTAATCAACCTTTAAGGTATAAAATTTGGTAGGTGTTATTATTAATAAAATAGTTTGTTTTATTTACCTATGTTGTTTTATTTATTCCTGTGGATTATTACAAATTTGTATTTGTACATAAGTTATATTGATAAATATAATCATAAATGCGGGTAGTTTCATAAAGCTTAAAGTAAATAATAGTTCTTTTTATATATTTTTGGTATGTAGTGTCTTGTTCTTGTTTGTTTTGTATTAGCACATACCGTTTTTATTAAATAAAATAACTCGATTACATTTTTTCAGTTTTATACAGTTTTTTTCACAATATTTTGAAGTAATGACTTGTCATCTTGTCAATCAAATTTTAAATATTTCCTGCTATGCGTTCCAGTTGTACCAACTTATTTCTTTGTAAAATAAAATAAACTACTTTGAAATTAAAATGACAGACACATTTATCACTGTCAAGGATCTTCTCGTTGGACAGACTATAGCTATTTTTTAATAATTAAATTATTTACTTTTAAAATAAGAGAAAATTAAAAACAAAAATACAAATAATAAACAAAAAGTCGATATAAATTAATATTCAGCAATAAAAATAAAAAATCGTTGTCCTAGTAATGGTACTGGGTACTAGTTTATGCAAAGTACCCGGTCTCATGATCCAAACAAGATAAAAAGAATTTCTGATGTCCCCTTTCTCGCGAAATGATACGGCAAGCGCTATAATAATAGCAATACCCAATAACAATAACAATTTCTATACAAATAGCGTCTAGTTATTTAATAGTCTATGATTTTAACATTCTTTTTACATTGGCGTGTTCTTGTAAACATTTGACCCAATTTAGAACTAGATCTCAGTAGCTCCCTTACTAACATTTTTTCAACACGGAATGGGTCTAAATTATTTACCTGCTTGATGAAAACTGCATATTACCAGATCAAGACCAAACTAAATCAAGAATTAACTGTCATAAAGAAGAATTTAAAACTAACTATAACACGAAAATACACACAACCAAACTTATATGGAATCATATCTATTATTTTTCATAATTTTTGAGACGTATGAAAATGTTGTGTTTATGAATAAAACTCAGTCCTGACCAATGACTTTTAAGGAAAAATAATCCATATAGCAATTAAAAAAATTAATCAGTTCCCATAATGGTACTTTTCACACAATGGTATTTTTTTTGGTTTCTAAAACGAAATTAAGATTTAAATTTTTAATGGCCAGAAAGCAAAAACAAAAAGAAAATTGACAATTTTAATAATCTTTGTTGCCACCTCTAGCACTTATGCAATCTTCTATCCGCGCTGGCATGCTTCTTATTGAATTATCAACGCTGTCTTGGGGTATGTTTTCCCATTCTTTTTTTTTTTTTTTTTTTTTTTTTTTTGGAGGTGTAAAATACCTTTACGTACGGAGTGTGGGACTCAATCTCTCCTTAAGCTGTCTGGAGGACACTACCCACTAAACGTCACCCCCTTGCTCCTGCCACGTCTACCTGGACCCGCTGGACGCATCTCCTCAAGTAGCGCCGGACTGTTCCTTTTTTGTCATTACCCCTGCTCTTCGCTGTATTTTGCCTCTAGTATATTTTGGGCCAGTTTTGAGATAACTTCAAAGTTTTCTCTTCTTTCTGTTACCGATTTTAAGAAGGTATCTGCGGAGATGTTGCCACCAATCATCATGCGTGCCTCACATCTTTCCTATGTTTTCCCATTCTGCTAATGCTGCATCTATAAGCTGGACGAGATTTCTTGGATTGTTCGACGAGCTGTAACCTTTCTTTTGAGCTGGTTCCACAAGTGTTCGATAGGGTTTAGATCTGGTGAACATGCAGGCCAGTCTAAAACTATGACACCGTCCGTTTCAAGACATTCACTAGCACTGTGCTGGTATAGGGAAGTGCACTATCGTGTATGAAGTTAACATTATCCCCAATTGCAGCTCTAGAAAGACTAACGATTGGCTCTAACACTAAATCAACATATGTACCTCCGACCGGTTAAAGTTTGTTGAAGTGGTAACAGTGGAGTTTTTACTCCCAGCATAGTACCTCCCCAGAACATTACAATTCTTCCTATAAAGGTATATAAATCTTGGTACAGATTTGGCAGCCTGGAGTCTCGCTCGTCTTCCTGGGGCTCTGAGAACCCCAATTTGATGGTCATCTGATCTTAGGCCAGTTCTTGTCTCATCCGAAAAAAGAACATTTTACCAAATCTCAGTTGTCCAGTTTAGAAGTTGAAGGCATCAATTTATCCGGTCAATTTTATTTTGCCGAGATAACTGTGAGATCCGTAACTCTTTCCTGCTGTAAAACCCTCGAGCACGAAGTCTTTTTCTTATGGTTTCAACTGAA